CAAAGAGATTGTAAAAATTACAGAGGAATAAGTTTACTGAGTATACCAGGAAAAGTATACGGTAGAGTTATAATTGAAAGAATTAGAGGTAAGACAGAATGTAGAATTGCGGATGAGCAAGGAGGCTTCAGAGTGGGTAGGGGATGTGTAGATCAAGTGTTTACATTGAAGCATATATGTGAACAGTATTTAGATAAAGGTAGGGAAGTTTTTATTGCATTTATGGATTTAGAAAAGGCATATGATAGAGTGGATAGAGGAGCAATGTGGCAGATGTTGCAAGTTTATGGAATAGGTGGTAAGTTACTAAATGCTGTAAAGAGCTTTTATGAGGATAGTGAGGCTCAGGTTAGGGTGTGTAGAAGAGAGGGAGCCTACTTCCCGGTAAAAGTAGGTCTTAGACAGGGATGTGTAATGTCAACATGGTTGTTTAACCCTTTGACTGTCGCGGCCGTATATATACGTTTGTGAGGTACCGTGTTTGACGTATATATACTCATAAATTCTAGCGGCTTCAAATCAGGCAGGAGAAAGCTAGTAGGCCCACATGTGAGAGAATGGGTCTGTGTGGTCAGTGTGCACCACATAAAAAAAATCCTGGAGCACGCAGTGCATAATGAGAAAAAAGAAACTCCGACCGTTTTTTTTAATTAAAATGCCGACTTTGTGGTCTATTTTCGTATAGTATTTGTGGTTGTATTCTCGTTTTCATGGTCTCATTTGATAGAATGGAAACTATATTATAGAAATGGAGGTGATTTTGATTAATTTTACTATAAAAAGAACCTGAAAATGGAGCACAAAGTACAGGAAATGTTTGATTTTTGCCGATGTTCAAAAGTAAACAAATGATGTCATTGTCCAATAAATGTCCAAATAGCCATTCTAATACGCAGTCATGAATGGGTTGATGTAATTTTTACAATTATTACAGTATTGCAGTAGTCTGCATAACAGTAAATCTTCTATTTTTTGTTTGAATAAAATTTCAAAATAAAAAGCAAGAGTAATATCACAGGGACCTGCAGACATGACTGATGAACAAAGAAAATCTTATTTTAGAGCCAGGAATGTCTGCATTGTTCATTCTGGACATTATTTTGAAATTGTCGTATTTTTTAATTTTCGTGAAATTGGCCAAATTGCAAATTTCTGACCATGTTATTGGGTAGTTGAAATCGGTAAATGGGCAGTTTCTTGTGCTCAATCGATAGAAAAAATAGAGTTCTGAAGAAATAGTTATGAGATTGGTTGACTGGAATAACGGAATTAGCCGAAAATAGGGCTCAAAGTGGCGCGAAATTGCCGATTTTTAAATATCGCCGAAGTCGCTAACTTCGCGAGAGCGTAATTCCGTCAGTTTTCCATCAAATTTCGTTTTTTTGGTGTCTTTACAATCGGGAAAAGATTCTCTATCATTTCATAAGAAAAAATAATTTTTTTTTTTTTTCGAATATTTTGCGACACCAGGAGCAACTTCAGGATTGGGCCCTTCGACAGTCAAAGGGTTAATATATTTATAGATGGGGTTGTAAACGAAGTAAATGCTAGGGTGTTCGGGAGAGGGGTGGGATTAAATTATGGGGAATCAAATTCAAAATGGGAATTGACACAGTTACTTTTTGCTGATGATACTGTGCTTATGGGAGATTCTAAAGAAAAATTGCAAAGGTTAGTGGATGAGTTTGAGAATGTGTGTAAAGGTAGAAAGTTGAAAGTGAACATAGAAAAGAGTAAGGCGATGAGGGTATCAAATGATTTAGATAAAGAAAAATTGGATATCAAATTGGGGAGGAGGAGTATGGAAGAAGTGAATGTTTTCAGATACTTGGGAGTTGATGTGTCGGCGGATGGATTTATGAAGGATGAGGTTAATCATAGAATTGATGAGGGAAAAAAAAGGTGAGTGGTGCGTTGAGGTATATGTGGAGTCAAAAAACGTTATCTATGGAGGCAAAGAAGGGAATGTATGAAAGTATAGTAGTACCAACACTCTTATATGGATGTGAAGCTTGGGTGGTAAATGCAGCAGCGAGGAGACGGTTGGAGGCAGTGGAGATGTCCTGTCTAAGGGCAATGTGTGGTGTAAATATTATGCAGAAAATTCGGAGTGTGGAAATTAGGAGAAGGTGTGGAGTTAATAAAAGCATTAGTCAGAGGGCAGAAGAGGGGTTGTTGAGGTGGTTTGGTCATTTAGAGAGAATGGATCAAAGTAGAATGACATGGAAAGCATATAAATCTATAGGGGAAGGAAAGAGGGGTAGGGGTCGTCCTCGAAAGGGTTGGAAAGAGGGGGTAAAGGAGGTTTTGTGGGCAAGGGGCTTGGACTTCCAGCAAGCGTGCATGAGCATGTTAGATAGGAGTGAATGGAGACGAATGATACTTGGGACCTGACGATCTGTTGGAGTGAGAAGGGTAATATTTAGTGAAGGGATTCAGGGAAATCAGTTATTTTCTTATAGTCGGACTTGAGTCCTGGAAATGGGAAGTACAATGCCTGCACTTTAAAGGAGGGGCTCGGGATATTGGCAGTTTGGAGGGATATGTTGTGTATCTTTATACGTATATGCTTCTAAACTGTTGTATTCTGAGCACCTCTGCAAAAGCAGTGATAATGTGTGAGTGTGGTGAAAGTGTTGAATGATGATGAAAGTATTTTCTTTTTGGGGATTTTCTTAATTTTTTGGGTCACCCTGCCTCGGTGGGAGACGACCAACTTGTTGAAAAAAAAAAAAAAAAAAAATTTTTTTGTTTTTTTCAACAAGTTGGTCGTCTCCCACCGAGGCAGGATGACCCAAAAAATTAAGAAAATCCCCAAAAAGAAAATACTTTCATCATCATTCAACACTTTCACCACACTCACACATTATCACTGTTTTTGCAGAGGTGCTCAGAATACAACAGTTTAGAAGCATATACGTATAAAGATACACAACATATCCCTCCAAACTGCCAATATCCCAAACCCCTCCTTTAAAGTGCAGGCATTGTACTTCCCATTTCCAGGACTCAAGTCCGACTATAAGAAAATATATATATATATATATATATATATATATATATACATATATATATATATATATATATATATATATATATATATATGTATATATATATATATATATATATACAGTGGACCCCCGGTTAACGATATTTGTTCACTCCAGAAGTATGTTCAGGTGCCAGTACTGACCGAATTTGTTCCCATAAGGAATATTGTGAAGTAGATTAGTCCATTTCAGACCCCCAAACATACACGTACAAACGCACTTACATAAATACACTTACATAATTGGTCGCATTCGGAGGTGATCGTTATGCGGGGGTCCACTGTATATATATACACATCCCTCTGGGTTTTCTTCTATTTTCTTACTAATTCTTGTTCTTGTTTATTTCCTGTTATCTCCATGGGGAAGTGGAACAGAATTCTTCCTCCGTAAGCCATGTGTGTTGTAAGAGGCGATTAAAATGCCGGGAGCAAGGGGCTAGTAACCCCTTCTCCTGTATAAATTACTAAATTTAAAAAGAGAAACTTTTCTTTTTCTTTTTGGGCCACCCTGCCTGAGTGGGATATGGCCAGTTTGTTGAAAGAAAGAATAAAATCATCACTGAGGGGGAGCTCCTTCTTCATCTATGATCAACAAATATTAGTATTTAATAACTAATGACTAACATTAGATAGTTTCCTTAGCCAACCGATAATCTACCAATATTTCACAAGCTTTAGGTAATTTGCTCTGGATATGCTATATTTTATCTGCACACAATACATAACTATATACAAATGGAGACAAAAATTTTTTTCAACAAACTGGCCATCTCCCACTGAGGTAGACTGACCCAAAAAAGAAGAAACACTTTCACCATCATTCCCTCCATCACTGTCTTGCCAGAGTGGTGCTGATACTACAGTTCAAAACTGCAAATATCCCTACCCATATGTCAGAGTACAGATACTATACTTCCCACCTCCAGGACTCAGGTCCAAGTAACCAGTATCCCTGTATCCCTTTATAAATGTTACCCAAAAATATATCATAATTAAAGCCTTTAAAGATTTTTGCTTTTTACTACTGTATATTTAATTAACAAAGAATTTAGTTTACTCAGGAGAAGATCTTCTTTCGACAAACTGGCCGTATCCCACCGAGGCAGGGTGGCCTAAAAAGAAAAACAAAAAGTTTCTCTGCTAAACTTTAGTAATGTATACAGGAAAAAGGGTTACTAGCCCCATGCTCCCAACATTTTAGTCGCCTTTTACGACACGCATGGCTTATTGAGGAAGAATTTTGTTCCACCTCCCCATGGAGATAAGAGGAAATAAAAAAGAACAAGAACTAGTAAGAACAAAGAAGAAAACCCAGAGGGGTGTGAAGTATATACTATATACTTGTACATGCAAGTGTAGTGTGACATAAGTGTAAGTAGAAGTAGCAAGACATACCTGAAATCTTGCATTTTTATAAGACAGGAGAAAAGACACCAGCAATCCTACCATCATGTAAAACAATTACAGGCTTTTGTTTTACACTCACTTGACAGGACAGTAGTACCTCCCTGGGCAGTTGCTGTCTACCAACCTACTTCCTAGGACAAGGGAAGATAGATTTTCATAAACTAATAGAGCTTGATGCTGGCAATTTGGGTCAATGATACCCTTGTAACACATTTACTGAATGTATGTCAGTGAATTCTTGCTTTTTTTTTTTTTTTAACAGGTTGGCTTTATCCTACATATTAAATGAATACCTGATGCATACAGCACTAAAATTTCCATAACATCTGTCAGCCTCAAAAACTAAAACTGGACCTGTTAAGGTTAGTCAGGGTAGTCTAAACAATTTTTTTTTAGACATCATGAACTAATCATTCTAAGTTGAAGATTTTATTTAATCAAATGAGCACTGTCATAATTCACAAACCATTCACAAAATACATAACATGTAATTCATAAAATTCAAAACAGTCATTGGATATTGGAAGTAGGTGAGCCATACCTACAGTGACAGCAGTAATATCCAGTAGTTTTGTGCCCCCACCAGGCGACTCGACACCAAACACCCTCCAGGAGTAATGTACAGGAACTTCTCCGCACCCATCCTCACCAACACGCTCTTCCCCTGGCTACCATTTTGATTTAATTTCAGTGGCAATAAATTTAAGTTAATAATTAAACAAGTGTAATGTAAACAAGAATGTAATGTAGCATTTAAAACATCTACACATTTTTTAATTGGGAACTTTTTATCAGGAAAATTAATATGTAGATGAAATTCTATATGATATACCACTAACACAAGTCTTATACTGTACTATATAAAATGGTAATAATTTCTGTAATTACTGCATCTACATTTACCACTGAAGTTTTGGTTTTTGATATACAAGGCCTGCATAAAAATATACATATAAACTATAGTAAAAGCAAACAAATCACTGACAACTTAAGGATTACAGAATCACTGTGCTTATACACTGTATAACTAAATGACTTGCATTGCACAGCAATATGGATTACAACAAATTTATTTATATCTGTGAATTAAAATTTATATACAATAACCTATTTAACTAATGTTAGATAAAAAGACATGTGCAACTAATGTGACATTTTATTTTGGCACTGTTTTTCTCTCCAGGATCTGTCTCAGGCCATTATTTTATTAACTGTATATACTGTCATCTTAGACTTACCGACCTTCATACGAGTTCATTACCATTTAATTTTATTAGAAGAAGAACTTAACTCATCTGTGCACAATGGCTCATGTTTACTCATGTTTCTCATTTTCTTCAGTTACCTTCACTTACTTGGACTTTACCTGGAGAGGGGTTTCGGGGGTCAACGCCCCCCGCGGCCTGGTCTGAGACCAGGCCTCACGGTGGATCAGGGTCTGATCAACCAGGCTGTTACTGCTGGCCGCATGCAAGCTGAAGTGCGAACCACAGCCAGTTGGTCAGGTACTGACTTTAGGTGCCTGTCCAGTGCCTTCTTGAAGACAGCCAGGGGTCTATTGGTAATCCCCCTTATGTATGCTGGGAGGCAATTGAACAGTCTTGGGCCCCGGACACTTATTGTAATGACTCTCAATGTACTCATGGCGCCCCTGCTTTTCATCGGGGGAATGTTGCATCTCCTGCCAAGTCTTTTGCTTTCATAGGGAGTGATTTTCGTGTGCAAGTTTGGTGCCAATCCTTCCAGGACCTTCCAAGTGTATATTATCATGTACCTCTCTCACCTGCATTCAAGGGAATGCAGATCAAGGACCTTCAACCATTCCCAGTAATTTAGGTGCTTTATCATACTTATGTATGCCATGAAAATTCTCTGTATATTCTCCAGGTCAGCAATTTCACCTGCCTTAAACTTCATATTGTTTTCAGTTACACATTTGAAGATTTCGCTGATGTCTGCTTGGAGTCTTGTGGTGTCTTCGACGGAGGACACTGTCATGGCAGTTCGGGTGTCATCCACAAAAGAAGACAAGGAGCTATGGCTTACATCTCTATGTCAGATATGAGGAGGAATAGGATGGGAGCAAGGAAAGGAATAAGATGGAAGTGAGTAAAGGAATAGGATGGGAGCATGTAAAGGAATAGGATGGGAGCATGTAAAGGAATAGGATGGGAGAGAGTAAAGGAGTAGGATGGGAGGGAGTCTTTAACCCCTTGACTGTCGCAACCCCCCAATCCTGAGGTGTCTCCTGGTGTCACAAAATTTAAAAAAAAAAAAAAAAAAAATTCTTATGAAATGATATAGAATCTTTTCCTGATTGTAATGACACCAAAAAAACGAAATTTGATGGAAAACTGATGGAATTACACTTTCACGAAGTTAGTGACCTCGGCAATATTTACAAATCGGCGATTTCGCCCACTTTGAGCCCTATTTTCGGCTAATTCCATGGTACCAGTCGACCAAACTCATTGCTATTTCTTTAGAACTCCGCTTTTTTCTATTGACTGAGTACAAGAAACTGCCCATTTACCAATTTCAACTACCCAATAACTTGGTCAGAAATTTGCAATTTGGCCAATTTCACGAAAATTAAAAAATATGACAATTTCAAAATAAGGTCCAGAATGAACAATGCAGACATTTCTGGCTCTAAAATAACATTTTCTTTGTTCATCAGTCACGTCTCCAGGCCCCTCTGATATTACTCTTGCTTTCTATTTTGAATTTTTATTCAAACAAAAAATAGAAGATTTACTATTATGCAGACTACTGCAATACTGTAATAATTGTATAAATAACATCAACCCATCCATGACTGCATACTAGAATGGCTAGTTGGACATTTATTGGACAATGACATCATTTGTTTACTTTTGAACATCGGCAAAAATCAAACATTTCCCCTACTTTGATCTCCATTTCCAGGTTCTTTTTATAGTAAAATCAATCAAAATCACCTCTATTTCTATAATATGTTTTCCATTCTATCATAAGAGACCAAGAAAACGAGGATACAACCATAAATACTATACGAAAATAGACCACAAAGTCGGCATTTTAATTAAAAAACAGTCGGAGTTTTTTTTTTCTCATTATGCACTGCGTGCTCCAGAATTTTTTTTATATGATGCACACTGTGACTGGCACACAGACCCATTCTCTCACATGTGGGCCTACCAGCTTTCTCCTTCTTGATTTGAAGCCGCTAGAATTTATGAGTATATATACGTCAAACACGGTACCTCGTAAGACGTATATATACGACCGCGACAGTCAAAGGGTTAAGCATTAGGATTTGCCCAAAATGCATTGTATACTTGTGGCTTTCTTTTGTGCCTAACAATGATTTTATTACAGATAAACTACATTATGTGTGTACTGCATAAGAGAAATAAAAATTTGAATTAGAATTTGAATAACCCTTCTGGGTTAAATAATATAACTCTAAGAATGTTTTCTCTTCTACTCATATGCCACAGAATTACTCACCCAACACCCTCCTAGGTTGCTTTCTAAATGTATTCTTTCTTTCTTTTCTGAGTCAGTTATCTTCAATACACCTAAGAAACACTTCTCTATATCTTCTAATTGTTTATCTTCACTTTCAAAGAGCTTACCTTCAACTCACAACCACTTTTAATAATTAGCTTGGCTGGGTTGACAAGCTGAGCACCTGAAATCTGTCTACAGAACCAGGGTGGTGAGCAGCCAGACACTAGCGTTGGTGGGTTGCCCTCCACAACCTCGACTTCCAAAGATGCAGTATTCTGCCGACCATCGTCACTCTCAGCCTGGGATTGAGGAGATGATTAAAAAAATGTAACACTAAAAATGCAGGATAAGAAAATAAACAAAGACCTGCAGGTGATTATAGGATTTAGTAAAAGAGGGCACTTAATTGAGCAAAATGGGAAGACAACAGGGGATACAATGCTATACTGACATTTCAATTCACCCATGAGCCCAGACTGCAATCCTGGTTTAATGGGCACTCGAGGAGTACATCATGGAAGACTATTCCCTTCATAGCTTTACATATTCTTACTATTAGTCCAGCACAACATGATATAAACAAAAGTTAAAATGGTGAAGTACAATATTTACTTATTGACAGTCAAAAACCAGTACAGCAAACTGTACTTACTAGCACAACTACCATTATCAGGTACAGTACATCAACTTCTGCCATCATTATTCAACAACTATTATTCAACAACTTAAACAACACAGCTACAAACTAAATAATGATGAATGTGTTCCCTTCTTTTGGTCATCCTTGGTGGGAAATGGCCAATATGGTAAAAAAAATTCTTTGGATATTTACTTTCTGAGGCATTTGGGCTGTCAGATTCATACATAGTATGATAGCGGTTCATTCATTCATTATGACAATTTTATAGTACAGAAAACTGTACATAATTAAATTTGCCCTTAGTCTAGTGATTCTAAACCAAATTAATCAGGTCAACACCTTTTTAAATACATCTCACTATGAAACAAAATTTCCCTATGAAAAGAAAAAATAGGAACAGGATGAAAGAAAAGTACACACTCTACTGTAAATATACTTTGATCTTGTAACAAAGTAAAAAATGAAGTTATGGATAATATTAATCGTAACAAAAGAGTGTTAAAGTGTGGGGATCATTCTGCTAAGCAGAAAAGACCTGTCAGAAGGAAAGAGAGGCATAAACAGACACAAAGAGAAACTGAAAGGCAGAGCAAGATAGAATTATAATGAAATAATTATATATGATGTAACTAGGCAGTTTGGAGGGACTCCTAAACTGTTGTATCTGAGTACCTCTGCAAAGACAATGATTATGTATGAGTGATAGTGAAAGTGTTGAATGATGATGAAAGTATTTTTCTTTCCTTTTGGGTTTTTCTTTCTTTTTGGGTCACTGTGCCTTGGTGGGAAACAGGCGATGTGTTAAAAAAAAAAAAACTAGGTTAGATCTGCACAATACAGCAGTAACCACTGGACCCCAGGAAAACTTGGCCTGCAGAATGATTCAGTAGAATGAAATTAAAAACATAAAAAGACACAGTACACTGTACTGTATTTATAAAACAGCACAAAATAATAAGTATAAAGAAAAGGCTACAGTATACTGTACGTATTACAGTTATAAAAAAAGTGCAAAATAATTAGTCTTCACTATAACACCATTGAATATAAAAGAAATTTTACCAAAAATTAAGTAACGTTTTAAATTATTATTATTATTATTATTATTATTATTATTATTATTATTATTATTATTATTATTATTATTATGCAATATTACTCATAAAAGAGGTACACTAATGATAAAAGGACTCACTGTAATTTGAAGACTGTAAGTCTTATGAGGATTCCGGAAAATACTGACATTAATATTAAATGTGGGCTTGATGTTGGACATCCAGCAGGTCCCTGCCCCCAGCATCCACCTCGGTCCTCCTCTGTGTATGCACTTCTGTTGGCTGGGGGATCAGAGATCACACTCCTGGCAGGTAACTCTTCACCCACCAAATGACACGACCAGACAAAATTACGCAGCTATGAAATAAAGAATATGATAATGGTGTTGATTCTCGAGTAGAAATTTACAAATACAGTGGACCCCCGCATAACGATGGCATCGCATAGCGATTTTTCCGCATAACGATTACTTTTATCGCAAAATTTTTGCCCCGCATACCGATTAAAAACCCGCATACCGATTTTCGTCCGAGACGCGTCCAATGTGCCCTCACATGTGCGGCCGTCCCATTGTTTACCAGCCAGCCTCCGGTAACATCCAAGCATACACTCGGAATATTTCGTATTATTACAGTGTTTTCGGTGGTGTTTCTGGAAAATAAGTGACCATGGGCCCCAAGAAAGCTTCTAGTGCCAACCCTGTGGTAAAAAGGGTGAGAATTAGTATGGAAATTAAGAAAGATTTTGAAGGGTTTGGGGCTAACCCTGAGAAGCCTATGCCAGTTGTGGAATCCATTGTGCCTACTTCAAAGATTAAGGAAATGTGTGCAGAGTGGTTTGAACTGCAAACCTTTATAGATGAAAATCACCCTGACACAGCTGTTGCAAGCCGTGCTTGTGACTATTTCAATGACAATGTTATGGCCCATTTTAGGAAAGTCTTGAAGAAACGGGAGGTACAGAGCTCTATGGACAGATTTGTTGTGCGACAGAGGTCCAGTGACTCTGAAGCTGGTCCTAGTGGCATTAAAAGAAAAAGGGGAAGTAACCCCAAAAAAGGACTTGCTACCTCAAGTCCTAATGGAAGGGGATTCCCCTTCTAAACAGTAAGAAGATAATGCTCTCCCCTCCTCCCATCCCATCAATCATCACCAGATCTTCAATAAAAGTAAGTGTCATGTAATTGTGCATGCCTTTTTCAGTTTGTGTGTATTAAAATTAACATTTCATGTGGTAAAAAAAATTTTTTTTCATACTTTTGGGCGTCTTGCACGGATTAATTTGATTTCCATTATTTCTTATGGGGAAAATTAATTCGCATAACGATTATTTCGCATAACGATGAGCCCTCTTGCACGGATTAAAATCGTTAACCGGGGGTCCACTGTAGTGTAAATTCATTATACAGGTCGGCCATCACTAATCCGGCATCACAGGGACCTGTAGTGTGCCGGTTTGGTGAGTTTGCCAGATTACAGAGTGGTTAGCTTAGGATACACTTAATTAACCTATCAATAGAGACTCACTCTTCTACATTTTCCTCATTTTCATCACTGCTTTCTCCTCCACTGGCTTGCTGCTGTGGATTTACAATCATCTGCACAATTTCTGAAATTTGAGTCAGTATAATGATGAAATCTGAAATTATGCAAGCCAAAATTAGTGCCGGATTACTCAAAGAACTGGATAACTGATTGCCGGATTAGTGATGGCCGACCTGTAATACATTGGTATGCAGGTGAGTATTTACCTCTTTGTTCTTGTGAAGTTCTACCTCCTATCCTTGAGTCAATGCCTCTTAACCATATTTATAAATTGAGAAAAATGTTGAGTCAAAAAGATACCATACTAGAAATTTTGTACACAGAGTGGCAGAAAAACTGAATGCATTAAAAAAGTAGATGATAAATCACTGCAATTCTAAAGACAAGACATTGTAAGCATAACTTTGCTCCTGTAGCTACTAATAAGTAATTACCAACCATCCTGTATTATGTTTCATGAGGCGGTTGTATGAACTAGTATTTGGACTCAGCTTCTACTCTCTCTTCTCCTAGTGCTGTGCATACTTAACAAATCAAAATTGTAATTACACATTGTAACCTTAGCAAAAAAATAAAATCTTTATCATTATCTTTTACCATCTGATCTCAGGTCTGGAGCTAGCTTCTACTATATCTCTCACTAACATGTACACCCAACTTGCTCATTACCTTTGCACTAAATAATTCTCATCTTCTCTTTAGATCCTTTAGTTGTTGCCTTCCACCTGTGTTTCCTCGCAGTGATCCCATTCATTATCCATATCTGCTTTGTTATCTATAAAACATCCACAAAGTAGTGAATAGTTTTTCCATTAAACAAAAAACTTATACAACACACACTTACCAGTGGCATAGCAAGAGGGAGAACAAGAGGAGTGATTGCTTCCCCTGAGCATAATTTTTAAAAGTGATGCCTTTTCAAAAAAATTTTCACTCTTCAGCTCACTTGTGCCAATGACATGTGTTCCAGTTATCCTAATATGTACACATTGTACCACATTTTTCTGACCTTACCAATAACTATCGCAATTGCGGAACAACCCTTTCAGGGTCCGTCCCGTAGATCTACGGCTTCACGTTGAGTGTCCAAACCGTAGATCTATGCCAAAATTCTAGCGCCGTCAAATTTAGCGTGAAAGCGCTCATAGGCCTACATGTGAGAGAACGGGTCTGCGTGGTGGGTGTGTGCCATAAACAAAAAATCTAGGCACCCGCATAGCATTGTGGGAACGCCGGCTCAGTTACCCTTGTTCACCATGCCTCGTCGCAAGTCAGCTCTCACTCCACGGAAAATTGGGACTCTCCTCTTCCTATCTGATAGTTCTGACACTGATGGAAGTGGAAATGAAGACGAATTCTATGGCTTTGATCAGTTAGTGACCGAAAGGAATGACCAGGATATCGATAATAGTGCAGAAAACCCTGACGATCCTCAACCTTCTACCTCTGGTGTGGGCACTCGTCAGCCACGGTCAGTTGTACCTCAACGCAAGAGAAAACTAATATTTTCGCATGGCCAGGCCTCTGACTTCAGTAACGATGATGATAGTGACGTGGATTGTGATTTTACTGCGCTTGACGATCATTCGAGTAGTGATAGTGAGGAATCATATTCACCAGTGAAGCGTCGGTATGTACATCGCCGCATGCGCTAGGGTAGTGTACCCTATGCTGTGCCCAGGGGATGGAGTACATCCTGGAGTACATCCCGGAGTACATCCCGTGGCCCTACACCAGGTTTAGATAGTGATAGTGAGGATGATGTGGCTGCACTTGGCATGGATAGACCACAGGCATCAATAGATGGTGGTAGTGGTGATGGTAGTGCACCGCCATGCGTGACTCACGAGCCCAGGCTGGGACCCATGCTGCTAACATCCTCAGTTCAAGGACAAAGCGGAGTGTCAGCCACCAGCCCACCACAATCACAACCTCCCGCACAACCAGCCTATGATGTCCAGTATCCACCAGCAAACGTATCTGGGATTGGCAGCAAAATCCCAATTTTGTTCCCAAGCCCCACCACTTTGATGACTCTCAAAGTGGAATTCTACCTACTTGTCCCCTTGGAACCACGGCCAATGAACTGGAATTCTTTGAATTATTTTTTGACCAGCCATTGATGGAAACTATTGTCAGGGAAAGTAATAAGTATTTTGAGTACACCATGGCAAATACGATCATATCACCACAGTCAAGACTACACTGGTGGAAAGAGACGACTGTTGCAGAAATGTATTTGCTTTTTGCAACAATAATGCTTATGCCTCATGTCTATAAGCATAATATAAGAGCATACTGGTCCACAGATCGGCTAATTTCTACCCCGGTCTTCAGTAAAATCATCCCAGTGAACAGGTTTATCTTACTGTTACGTATGTTGCACTTCTCTGACAAAACCAGCCTGACAGAAGTGACAGGTTATACAAGATTAGAAAATGTTTTTATGTATCTCAAAACAAAAGTTCAGCATATACTTTTATCCATTCAAGAATCTTGTAATTGACGAGTCTTGATTTTGTTCAAAGGTAGACTGTCATTTAAGCAGTACATATATACCGAGCAAGAGGAAACGCTTTGGTATAAAACTGTTTGTACTCTGTGACTATGACAGTGGCCTGGTGTTGGATATTGTTGTATACACGGGAAGTAAAACATTGAAAGATACCAAGATGTTATTGGTATCTCAGGTGACGTAGTGAGAAACATGATGGCACCTTATCTTGGTAAGGGGCATACATTATATACCGATAACTGGTACACAAGCCCATTACTCAGTGATTTCTTGTGAGTGAACAAGACAGATGTGTGTGGCACAGTGCATTCTAATCGTAAACATATGCCCAGGCTCAACGCAGGTGCTCGTGGTGATGACGTGCAGGTGTTTACTGCCAATGACATCATGGCATTACGGTGGCATGACAAACGAGATGTCACTTTGTTGACAACCATTCACCGTAATGAAATGCAAGACAGTGGCAAAGTTGATCGAGTGACTAATGAACGTATTCGAAAACCAGTGACAGTGACTGATTATACACAAAACATGCGCTTGGTTGACAAATGTGACATGCAGATTGGTTTTGTTGATTGTGTTCGTAAGAGTTACAAGTGGTACATGAAACTTTTCTTCCATCTCATGGACATTTCAATGCTCAATGCATATAATATGTACCAAATAAAGACTGGCAACAGACCACCATATGGTGAATTTTGTTTGTCTGTTGTCAGACAACTCATAATGAAGTACCAGATAAGAACACCTGCTATACAACAAGGTCCTCGAATTCCTCAGGATATACCCAAGCGTTTGAGGAGGGAAGGTGATCTTTTCATAATACAGCTTCCTTCAACTCAGAAGAAATTTGCTCAGAAGAGATGCATCATCTGTGCACAAACAAAACGACGGCAACAAAGACGCAAAGGCACTCGGTTTATGTGTGAGGAATGTAAGGTGCCTCTGTGTATGGTGCCTTGTTTCAAGGAGTTCCACAAGCTCCAGCAGTTCTAAAACCATGTCCAGTGATTGTAAATATGTAAATATATGATAGAACATTAGTATTATACAAGATTTGTGCATGTTTATTGTAATAAACAACAGTGGTAAACAATAATATGATAATAACTTTAGTGCAGTTATTGTGTTCAATACAGTGAGTTTATATATATACATTATATACAGTATTGGTCTCTCAGGCCCCAAATGTTAGTAGGAAAAGAAAAAAATTGGAAAAGAAAAGAAAAAACTACAAAAACTGCTAAATAAAGTAATGCGCGTATGTGGAATTCGTTGATGTTGCCGCCACCACATCATTTTGGACAAACTTCTTGGGACTGTATCTCGGTAAGTACTGATCAGAAAATTTCTTTTGTCTTATTACCTTCACAAAAATATGCTCTTTAATTCTGTAAGAAAAAAATAATTTTTTTTTTTTCAAAATTTCTTGGACACTGGAGCACCACTTCAGATTTTGGCCTTGGACCCTGAAGGGGTTAATCAGCTCAAACACACAAAATCCTACTTTGGGTCTACAATGGGTGAGGACTGATTTTCTGGGTTACCTTTGTTCTAAATTGAAAGCGAGTTGGCTACTGAGGTGGATTATAATAAAATAACAGATAACTTTGCTAGAATGAAGTCTAGACTAAAGAGATTGTTGTAGTTGCTTCATACATTCTTTACATTACTTCATTTTGTTTTCATTTTACATTTAAAATTAAAATAATAAATAACACACATGCTTTTATTACGTTTTGAGATTTATGAGCTTACTGTAAAACTTTTTATTGTTTTAATTTTAAATACAAAATAACAATTATATACTTCCTTTAAACCTGTATCTTTCTTGTGTTTTGATTTTAAAAGCAAAAATGTATAATGAATTTAAAATGATTCAGTGCGTGTCATGACACTTATTATGTGCTCGCTCACACTAACTTTAGAACCTGGCTACACCACTAGCACTTACCTTTGGAACCCGTGCAAATAATTAAGAAAGACAGAATAACTACAGATCACGAAAAGCATATAAAAGAAATCCACTAAAAAGAAATGAATATGAAAAGAAATATAGGCTAAGAGAAATCACATAAAGACATACAATACTTACCACTGTAATGAGATCCAAGTAAATTTATTACTCAGATTTAATCATGAAAATGCTTCAAAATGAGTCTAAGCAAAATAAAAATTATTGAAAACCCTTAAAATAACTTAGTCGACAGAAAATATGAGGAGACATAATAATTACATACAAAATTACACTAGGATGGGAAAAAATAAAGATGATTTCTAAGCACTACCAACAGGGAGAACAGGAAATCACAACTGTAAACCGATAAAAAAATTGTCTTCACAAACAGAAGAAAACTGGAATGGGATCTAAGAGAAGATAATAAATGTTACAACCCCTGGTACACTTAAACATTTATCTGACAAATTTACTGTATTTTACAGCATCAAAGATGCTTTTTTTTTTTTTTTTCAAAAAAATAAGTCTAGAAGATTTACCCAGTGTCTTGGAGGCTGAAAATTAAGTTGCTCATAGGACATAGCCTAGAAAAGTGTTTCAATATTATACAGTAATCTAAACTCCTGTTTATGAGCCAATAATGAATTATGTAACGTATTTTGTATAAAATAATGAATAAATTACAGGATGGCACAAGTACAGCTCTGCTACTGTGACTTCAAATAAGCAATCACCTATTATTAATATAATTTTTTATGAACAATTTAAAATATAACTTCAGAAAGAGCAACAAAAAACAATCTTCTTTAATACTAACCGGTATTTCTGGATAATCAGGATCATAGGAGACATGACCAGGTGAGAGACTAAGTGTTTGCAGTGTACCTCGACGGACCCTGGGAGCACCTCCTTTCATCATCACAACCATCAGGGTGCTCTTGCCCACTTGAATCACTGACACCCCATTTAATACTGTCCACACAGGAGCGCCCTCTAGATCTAACAAGATAGTGAGACAGTCTCACACATTTGTTACTGTATATTCACTGTAATGATACTAAGGATATATTTATATTCTCTGGTATTATTTGAGAAATTACTTTGCCTGATTTGCCATTTTATTATAAACTTATTTTTTAACACACCAGCCATCGCTCACTGAGGTATGGTGAAGCAACAGAATAAAAAGCAACACATTCACCATTAGTACTGTGCATACCTCCCACCTCAGGACTAGGGTTCAACTAACTAGTTTTTCTGAATAGTTTTTTAAATATTACCCTACTCACATTTCAATAGCATGTCAAGCCATGAAAACCACTAAATATCCATTCACACCTATCTAACATGCTCCCACATACTTGCTGCATGTTTATACCCCTTGCACTCAAAAATCACCTTTACTCCCTCCTTCCAACCTCCTACCTTTCTTCCTTTCACTCCTAATTTGTACACCCTCTAATTCATCCTATTCTGCTCCATCCATTCAGAATGTCCAAACCACCTCAACAATACCTCCTCAACTCTCTAAATTAGATCTTTAATTATAACTTTAGAATCCCCATACAGTCATCTAATCTCTATGTTTTGAGGTCTTTGAATAATATTCACACAATACATCACCCTAAAAAATGACATCACTGCTCCAACCTCCCCTTTCCTCTAATGTTGAAAGCCCATGCTTCACACTTATACACCCAACATGGCACTTCTATACTTTGGTAAATTTCCCTTTTAGCCTTTATAGATGAAGGCTGAGGAAGGGTTGTTGAGGTGGTTTGGACATGGAGAGAGGAGGGAACAAAATAGAATGACTTTGAGAGTGTATAAATCTGTAGTGGAGGGAAGGTGGGGTAGAGGTCAGCCTACGAAAGGTTGGAGGGAGGGGGTAAAGGAGGTTTATGTGCGAGGGGCTTGGACTTCTAGCAAGGATGTGTGAGCATGTTAAATAGGAGCAAATGGAGACAAATGATTTTTAGGACTTGACATGGTGTTGGAGTGCGAGGAGGGTAATATTTATGAAGGGATTCAGGGAAACCGGCAGGCCGGACTTGAGTCCTGGAGATGGGAAGTACAGGGCCTGCACTCTGAAGGAGGGGTATTAATGTTGCAGTTTTATAACTGTAGTGTAAGTGCACCTCTGGCAAGACAGTGATGGAGTGAATGATGGTGAAACTTTTTCTTTTTTGGGCCACCCTGCCTTGGTGGGAAACGGCCAATGTGTTAATAATAAAAAAAAGATTACAAATTCTTAGCAGTTAAGGAATGGCTAATATTTCATTAGAAAGTAAAGCCCATAATAATAAAAATTTACAGTACTCTATGATATTAATTTCAGTTTACACTCCTGTGATTAGTTTGCCTGAAATGAACTGAATGCTTGTGGCTTAATGACTAAGTAGAAAATAAGCTTCGTAAAAAATAAAGACTTTATACATGTGTACTAGCTTACTTATCATGGATATATTGTAGGAAACAATGGCACGATATTGTCCATAGTGAAGGGTACGTGCTGGTAGATACAAGACACTTTTGCTTGTGTCCACAGATGACAGTTCCACTTCTTCACTATCATTCACACGAACCACCTTCCAACCTACAAGTAAATCAGGTACAAGCTGTTATAAAATATCAATGATTATGAAATATGACACACATGCAGCACTAGGATAAGTATTTTACCTAGGAAATATTTTGCCACCAGTGGCATCTTCAGGTCCTGAAGAAGCCTTTCATAGTAAAATGTTTGTCATTAAAATATCCTAACACTGCACAGGTATCTCATTTATAAGCAAAATATTGAAATCATTGCAAATTAATATTCTTCAGATTAGTAATTTCCTGAAATAAATATAATTCCTTTTCCTAATTTAATTACCAGACAGTAACACTAACTATAAGCTAAAGTAGTTGCAATGTAATTTACATACACCTGGAGTTACCAAAATAAATGAGGCTAATATTTTAGTAACCAGAAGTAGTGTCTAATCTTAATACAAACATATCAGTATGAATCTGAAAACCAACTGACATTATTATCAGTGATATTATAAAAACATACTAATTTCCATATCCATCTCTGGGACACTGCAGTTAACATCAGCGAAGCTCCGGACCCACAGCTTGTCTGCACGTGTCATGCTAACAGGTGCTTCCAAAGTGCCATTCTTCTGTATCCAGACATTTAGGTAATCACATGGGAGACTATCTAACACAATTATGTTGACCATCTCTTGTAATTCACCCATAGCAGAAAACAATCGAGCTGTAGGTTTATACACCCCTGGTGATGAGTATTTATGAGTTAAAGTCACTAATTCTGAGAATGCTACTTTCTGCCACTCTTCTCGACCTGTGCCTTGACCTTCGCAATTATCAGCTCGTTTCCATCCTACCAGTCGGCCATCCCCAAGGTTCAAAGAAAGGCAGGCACCGAGGAACAGTGGGGCTCGTATGGTAAAGGTAATCTCCAACCCAGCTCGAGTATCTGTATCAGACACTTCCACCTTAAGGTTATTTAGTTTTTCACGAATCCGCACCCAACTAGATACTTTATTAGATGTTTCTCCCAGGACTTCAGCGACTATAGCCACTTCATAGTCACTCTCCTGTAAGGATGAATAACAGTTACTACAGTACAATACATTACAAAATAATGAAGAGTAATTAAAAAGAATATAATGATAGTGATACAATAAAAAACTTAAAAATGCCTTTGATAATAAGAAAATTCTAATGTACTGAATCTTAATACTGTACAGTACATGAAAAACCTTTTTACTTACCCTTTTAAACTTGAGTATGAAAGTGGGCGAGGTCTGCACCAGATCTTTCTGACCACTGACCGAGAGGACATAGTGGTCTGCCTGTCCCTTGATGTTCCCTAGAGTGATGCTTATAGTGTCCTCCACAAAGAAAGCATTCTGAGGTCTTGTCAAGGTTCTATCACCTTCCTTAAGAGTTATGACTAACTCCCTCAGCTCTAGCTGTTGCACCACTGAAATCTAAGAATGGTAATACACTAATAGCTCCATGAAATCATCCTGCATGACAGAGAAAAAGTAAAGTTAGTCCTTGTTATAACCATGCAAAAATGTCATATATCAGGGTAGCCATATTATATGGTGTGTCAAATTTTGAAAATTAAAAGAAATTATCTTTTGTGACATACTAAAATTCCCAAAATAATTTTGTCCTTTATTTCTGCATTAATGTTTATTTCTCATGATACTTTACCAGTACATAAAAATTTCCCTTAAATTTTCAAATAAGAGAATATATTATCTTTTTAATGAAAATTACTATGAAATTTATTACATTAAAAAACAGCTTCCTTATTTCCTTACTGAGAGAGACAGAATTTTTATTCATCAAATAATTTTAATATAATGCACGTATTAGGTACGTATTATAATGTACGTGTTGGGTTGTGTTCTGAGCACCTCTGCAAAAACAGTGATTATGTGTAAGTGAGGTGAAAGTGTTGAATGATGATGAAAGTATTTTCTTTTTGGGGATTTTCTTTCTTTTTGGGTCACCCTGCCTCGGTGGGAGACGGCCGACTTGTTAAAAAAAAAAATAGGTAAAATTCCTACAATTCGCAATATGCAAAATTTATTGAAAAAATTAATTTCCCACAGATGAAATTTTGAATTTACAGAAGCTTTTTGCACACATTCAGACAACCCCTCCCCCCCCTTTTGTTCATTTTTTTACCAATCTGTCTGATTTATCACTGCTTAATGAGTGGCTTTCATAAGTTAATGACAACATTTAGTAAAGTTTTTAAATGTGTGCAATAACTGGGAAATAAAGTAATGCACTGTCATACAGTATTATAATCAAATTTTCCTGATTTGTTTATATTTTTCTAACTAATATTTGCAATTGCAGCAATTAAATTTTCTTAATGAATTCCCTAATACATACCTCCAATATGTCATAACTATTCTTATTTTCATGTACTAGTAATTATAATTTAGTTTTAAGACTGCCCAAATATGTCATTGATGTCAGTTAGGCCTATATACCTTGTACATGTACTTCTAGAAATAAAGATATTATTTATTAACTTAAAATGCCTTTCATACAAAGAGGTTTTCTATAAAGTAGCAAACATACATACACATGTATATCAATTACCCTAATTGTACTGTAATCCACTTTACAGAAATAAAGTTTATTTGTTTAGTTTTGAATTAAAGTGTCTGAAAAGAGATTTGTGGCTGATCAAGTTTCATGATGATGCTGCTACTGACCTCCCTGGTAAGGTTGAGTTCAGACACTGGATTATGCAAGATGAGACTGACGTGGAAGGTTCCTGACTGGTTATAACTGTGTGTGATGTTTTGTGTGATGGCCTTAATGGCTCCAGCAAATGTATCTTTCTTGAAGTTGAGCTGTGTCTCCCCTTGATTATCTCCCCAAGATAAAACACCTGCCACAAGGGTGGGGAGTTCTCCCGGGGCTTTCAACACAATCGTCACCATTACCTCAGCTGTAAAAAAGTGTTTTAAGCCACTATAATTTACATAATATACCTGCCACAAGTGTGAAAAATTAATTTAAAAGAAAAATCCAATAAATTTATTTTTTAAAGTATGTATACTGTACTGTAACAGCATACTGTATTTATTAATGAGTAATGTACGTTAGGTTAATCATTTGTTATGTATATTAAATGGATGTTAAAATTCTTAAAAAAATATATAAAGCAGTTCCAATTAGCATTAGACTAACACAGGTATCTACATGCATGGTACCTAGGAGCATTCCTTCTTGCCTTGCTAAAGAAAGAGAAATACTATTTAAATTAAAATTAAAATTTTTATTTCTTAGTGGTACAAAAATAATGTAGTTTACACGTAATGAAATATTGTTAGGTACAAAAGAAAGGCACTAAGTTGCAATACATTTCAGGGAACCTAATCCTAATGCTTAAAGACTATTAAGAATTACACACAGACTATTAAGTAAGATTTCTTATGCAGTTGACTACAGTTATATGTACAATAAGAAAATTTAGATGGGTACAATAAAAAGGAACAGCTTGTCATTGAAGTGGAATACTCTTAATAATTGACTTGCTGAGTTCCTCTATATTTACCTGGGGGCCACACAACCATGTTGGGAACAATTAGCACAAGGTTCTCTTCTTTCAATGGTCTTGCCAACTGTAACACTCGTGTCACTGCAGGAGAGATACCAGCCCTACCAGAACTCACGACGCTCATGTTGTATTCTCCAGCCTAAAACCGTACAATCAAGAACAAAGCATAACAAAAAAATAAAAAGTTATCTGCAAACTTAGAAATAATGTATGTAATACTGCAGTATTGTGCATCTTTCTATACAAAAAAAAATATATTTTAGTGCTAAATCAATAACTTACTGCTGTGAAAGTGTAAGTAAAAGATGAAGTTTTGCTAGTTATAATGTCTCCATTCACTGACAGTGTGAAGTTATTGGAAATTCCAGTCTTCTCTACAGCAGTGATGGTGAGAGGAACGTCAGTCTTCCAGAAGTCAGTAGGCCTACCTGGCACATCAACTTCATTCTGATATCTCACTACAATCTTGTCAAGTGAGAGGTGGTTCAGCACTTGCACCTGAAAGTAAGTTTATTTAGGTACAGGTACATATAAGTACAATTTACCTGAAAGTAAGTTTATTTAGGTACAGGTACACATAAGTACAATTATCATACATAGTGTAAATTACCTAGGATAACTCTAAAAAAAAGGTCAGACAGTGACTTATTTCCATAAGTACAGTAAATAAGTATATATCAAAGAGCCATTTAGTTTTCACTCGTCACCATTAACAATGCATAAATTCTGAAGACGATTTCTGTACAGTAAATTAGGTTTGCCGTGGTATAAAAGAATCGGAGCCAAATTCAAAGAATGGTGGAATAATGCAGGCATGGAGGAGAAGGGAGCTATAAAGTTGAAGTTACCATACTTAGTAATGGGGCTCTGAAACTAACTTACAAGTGGAGAAGACTCTCACACATTCCCACAAACAGCTTATACATTTCCACAAACAGTCTACACATTCCCACAAACAACTTACACATTCCCACAAACAGCCTCTACATTCCCACAATCTACACATTAACACAAACAGCCTACACATTCTCACAAACGCCCTACACATTCCCATAAACAGCCTATGCATTCCCAAAGAGCCTACACATTCCTACAAAGAGCCTATACATTCCCACAAAGAGCCTACACATTCCTACAAAGAGCCTATACATGCCCACAAACAGCCTACACATTCTCACAAATAGCCTACACATTCCCACAAACAGCCTACACATTCCCACAAACAGCCTACACATTCTTACAAACAGCCAACATATTCCCATAAACAGCCTACACATTCCCACAAACAGCCTACACATTCTCACAAATAGCCTACACATTCCCACAAACAGCCTACACATTCCCACAAACAGCCTACACATTCCCACAAACAGCCTACACATTCTTACAAACAGCCTACATATTCCCATAAACAGCCTACACATTCCCACAAACGGCCTACACATTCTCACAAATAGCCTACACATTCCCACAAACAGCCTACACATTCCCACAAACAGCCTACACATTCCCACAAACAGCTTATACATTCCCACAAACAGCCTATACATTCTTACAAACAGCCTACATATTCCCATAAACAGCCTACACATTCCCACAAACAGCTTCTACATTCCTACATACAATCTACACATTCCCACAAACAGCCTACACATTCCCATAAACAGCCTACATATTCCCACAAAGAGCCTATATATTCCCCAAAGAGCCTACACATTCCCACAAACAACCTACACATTCCTACAAAGAGCCTATACATTCCCACAAACAGCCTATACATTCCCACAAACAGCCTACACATTCCTACAAACAGCCTACATATTCCCACAAAGAGCCTATACATTCCCCAAAGAGCCTACACATTCCCACAAAACCTACACATTCCTACAAAGAGCCTATACATTCCCACAAACAGCCTACACATTCCCACAAACAGCTTACATATTCCCACAAACAGCCTACACATTCCCACAAACAGCTTACATATTCCCACAAACAGCCTACACATTCCCACAAACAGCTTACATATTCCCACAAACAGCTTACATATTCCCACAAACAACCAACACTTTCTTTCATCCCACAGCCTAAACATTCTCTCATCCCACAAACAATATAAACATTCTTTCATCACAATCAAAACATTCTGTCATCCCACAAACATCCTAAACATTCTTTCATCCTACAGTCTAAACATTCTTTCATCCTAGTCTAAACATTCTTTCATCTCACAAACATCCTAAACATTCTATTATCCCACAAACAGTTTAAACATTTCATCCACTCTAAGTATTCTTTCATCCCACAGTCTAAACATTCATCCCAATCTAAACATTCTTTCATCCCAGCTTACGCATTCTTTCATCCCACAAACATCCTAAACATTATTTCATCCCATCCTAAACATTCTTTCACCCCATCTAAATGCTCCTTCATCCCAACCTTAACATTCTTTCATCCCACAAACAGCTTAAACATTCTTTTATTCGAGTCTAAATTCTTTCATCCGATTCTAGACATTCTTTCATTCGACTGTCTAAACATTCTTTCATCTGTTAGTATAAACAATCTTTCATTTGCCAGTATAAACATTCTTTCATCCGAGTCTAAACATTTTTCTGCCAACAGTAAATTCTTTCATCCCAATCTAAACATTCCTCCCACAGCCTAAACATTCTTCCAGCCCAATCTAAACATTCTCTCATCCCAATCTAAACATTCCTCCCACAGCCTAAACATTCTTCCAGCCCAATCTAAACATTCTCTCATCCCAATCTAAACATTCTCTCATCCCAATCTAAACATTCATCCCACAAACAGCCTAAACATTCTTCCATCCCAAATTTAAACATTCTTCCATCCCACTTTAAACATTCATCCCAATTTAAACACTCTCCCATCCCAATTTAAATATTCTCTCATCCCAATCTAAACATTCTCTCATCCCACAAACATTCTCTCATCCCACAAACATCCTAATCATTCCATTAACCAGAATTGTGTCTGTGGTGACTCGTACACTTAATGCTAAAAATATATGAGTGCGGCTCACCATTTTGGTGATATTTGCCCGTGAGACTGAATTTGCGAGTTGAAGAGTCACCAGATATTGACCTGGCTGCTGGTACTCATGGATGACAGTTCTTGTGACTGATCCTGAGGACCCTGGTGGAGTATCCTCAGTCATGCTGACTTGGCTGACAGTCTCACCGTCACCCCAGGTGACTGAACCACTCACATGAGTGGGCAGCTCCTCATGTGATGTCACACTGATTACTGCCTGTGTCTTGGCTACGGAAAGAAAGATCTGTTAAAAAAATGAATCAGTTACTACGACCAGAGTACTGGTGAAGCAGTTACTACGACCAGGGTACTGTTCAGTCAGTTACTACGACCAGAGTACTGCTGAAGCAGTTACTACGACCTGGGTACTGTTCAGTCAGTTACTACGACCACAGTACTGGTGAAGCAGTTACTACGACCAGGGTACTGTTCAGTCAGTTACTACGACCACAGTACTGGTGATGCAGTTACTACGACCAGGGTACTGTTCAGTCAGTTACTACGACCACAGTACTGGTGAAGCAGTTACTACGACCAGGGTACTGTTCAGTCAGTTACTACGACCACAGTACTGGTAAAGCAGTTACTACGACCACAGTACTGGTGAAGCAGTTACTACGACCAGGGTACTGTTCAGTCAGTTACTACGGCCACAGTACTGGTGAAGTAGTTACTACGACCAAGGTACTGTTCAGTCAGTTACTACGGCCACAGTACTGGTGAAGCAGTTACTACGACCACAGTACTGGTGAAGCAGTTACTACGACCAGGGTACTGTTCAGTCAGTTACTACGGCCACAGTACTGGTGAAGCAGTTTACTACGACCACAGTACTGCTGAAGCAGTTACTACGACCAGGGTACTGTTCAGTCAGTTACTACGACCACAGTACTACTGAATTAGTTACAACGACCAGAGTACTGCTGAATCAGTTACAACGACCAGATCACTGCTGAATCAATTACTACGACCAGAGTACTGAATCAGACGTAGTATCAAATCTGTCCCTTAAACTGCTCTAATTTATGTGTACATGATACTTCTTTTAAACTAGAAAAAACATGAAAAATTAATTGAATTGTACGACTTCTGCAATTGTCCTCCGTGTGTGTATATCAATATCTACATTTATAACTCGTGGTTGAGTTTTTCTATTTTGTTAGGCTAGATGTTCTTTTCCCGGGATGGGGGAAACGTTGGGCAGTTTTCCTCACACCTGTTGTCCCTGTTCACCTAGCAGTAAGTAGGTACCTGGGTGTTAGTCACTTTACACTTGTTGCTCCTGTTCACCTACCTACTCTTCGCCTAGCTGCTCCTGTTCACCTAGCTGATTCTGTTCACCTAGCAATAAGTAGGTACTTGGGTGTTAGTCGACTGGTGTGGGTCGCATCTTGGGGGACAAAATTGAAGGACCATAATGGAAAAAAAGACAAGAGTCCTCGATGATCCTCTGACTTTACTGGTGTGAAAATTATTATTATTATTATATTATTATTTATTATTATTATTATTATTATTATTATTATTATTATTATTATTATTATTATTATATATTATTATTATTTATTAGAGTAAATTATCTGCAAGGAGGCTTACAAGGCCTTACCTGAATTATTACCTGCAAGTAATTTGGGTGAGGTAAGTGGGAGTTAAGTCACAGCAGGTCACTGAACTCTACCTCCTTCGATGCCCACTGCTTACCACTCTCACAAAAAGCTAGACCTGACATTAAATTGATAATTATCAGTGGTGGGCACAGCTAACCGAAAAGTTAGCTTTGCTAACCGATAATCCGCTAACTAAAAAATTAGCTCCGCTAACACTAAACTGCTAAACGGCCGAAAAAAAATTAGCGATAGCTGACGCTGAACGCTAACCACTAACTTTTTCACATGAATTCTGATTCGGTCTAGTTTTTTCGTCTTTTACGTACTTTTAAACGACATGACCATCAGTGTCAATGGCAAACTCCTACTGTATGCTGATGACAGTGCTCTGATAGTGTCAGGTAAATTATTATTATTATTATAATCAAAAAGAAGCGCTAAACCACAAGGGCTATACAGCGCAGTGTGTCAGGTAAAGACCCACAAGATATAGCTAATGTAATAACACTGGAAATGGAGTCCTGCAGCAAATGATTAGTAGACAACAAACTATTGTTACACCTCGGGAAAATGGAAGCCATACTCTTTGGTACCAAACATAAACTGAGAAGGGTGATGATCCGCTAATGGTTTCCGAAGTTAGCGGAAACGCTAATCAACTGAACAAAAAGTTAGTTCCGCTAATTAGCTGTTAGCGGATTAGCGGAACTGTGCCCACCACTGCAATATAAATCACAACACTACACAATATACATCACAACACTACACAATATACATCACAACACTACACAATATACATCACAACACTACACAATATACATCACAACATTATACAATGTATATAGCAACATTATACAATATACATTGCAACACTATACAATATACATCACAACACGATATAATATACGTCACAACACTACACAATATACATCACAAGATTATAAATATATACCACAACACTATACAATATACATCACAACACGATATAATATACATCACAATACGATATAATATACATCACAACACTATACAATATATATCACACTAAACAATGCACATCACAGTACTTAACAATATACATCACAACACTACATAATATACATCACAACACTATACAATATATAACACAACACTACACATCACTAATTGTCACTACACATCACTAATGATAACTACTCATCACTACACATCACTACAAATCACTAATGATTGCTCATCACTACACATCACTATTCATCACTACACACTTCCCATCACTACTCATTACGGCACATCACTGATGATCAGTACTTATCACTATACATCACTAATAATCACTACACAACTCTACACATCACTAATAATCATTACACAACACTACACATCACTACACACTACACATCACTAATAATCGCTACATAACACTTCTCATCACTACACATTACACATCACTAATAATCACTACACATCACTAATAATCACTACACAACACTACTCACCACACATCACTACAAATCACTACTACACTACCATACACGTGACAATGTCACCATACAACACTATCATACACATCACCATACAACACTACCATATGCATCACCATACCCACCAGTCTTCATTTAATATCCTCTCCATACTTATCACTACCATCCTCAGTAACCTTATATATATAATATATATATATATATATATATATATATATATATATATATATATATATATATATATATATATATATATATATATATATATACACATATATATATATATATATATATATATATATATATATATATATATATATATATATATATATATATATATATATATATATATACACACACACACACACATATATATATATATATATATATATATATATATATATATATATTATATATATATATATATATATATATATTATATATATTGCTAAGAGCTTCATCATAATGGCTGCCGTTTGTTTTGTATTCATCATCTCTCACTATCCTCATCACTATTACGCCTCACCATTTACCTGGAGTTTACCTGGAGAGAGTTCCGGGGGTCAGCGCCCCCGCGGCCCGGTCTGTGACCAGGCCTCCTGGTGGATCAGAGCCTGATCAACCAGGCTGTTGCTGCTGGCTGCACGCAAACCAACGTATGAGCCACAGCCCGGCTGGTCAGGAACTGACTTTAGGTGCTTGTCCAGTGCCAGCTTGAAGACTGCCAGGGGTCTGTTGGTAATCCCCCTTATGTATGCTGGGAGGCAGTTGAACAGTCTCGGGCCCCTGACACTTATTGTATGGTCTCTTACGTGCTAGTGACACCCCTGCTTTTCATTGGGGGGATGTTGCATCGTCTGCCAAGTCTTTTGCTTTCGCAGTGAGTGATTTTCGTGTGCAAGTTCGGTACTAGTCCCTCTAGGATTTTCCAGGTGTATATAATCTTGTATCTCTCCCTCCTGCATTCCAGGGAATACAGGTTTAGGAACCTCAAGCGCTCCCAGTAATTGAGGTGTTTTATCTCCGTTATGCGCGCCCGTGAAGGTTCTCTGTACATTTTCTAGGTCAGCAATTTCACCTGCCTTGAAAGGTGCTGTTAGTGTGCAGCAATATTCCAGCCTAGATAGAACAAGTGACCTGAAGAGTGTCATCATGGGCTTGGCCTCCCTAGTTTTGAAGGTTCTCATTATCCATCCTGTCATTTTTCTAGCAGATGCGATTGATACAATGTTATGGTCCATACTTACCAATATTATCATAATTATTTTTAAAGCACTTAAGATGCACTTTTCACACAGACTCCAGTATATAATTATTATTACTATCACATCAACTAAAATCAGTCCTTTCACTTAAAAAACAATATTACCTTCTTTAAAATTAAACAAAAAAAATAATTCGTGAAAATATCCTCATATATTTGGTGCTCCTCTTCAGTGGATATAGTTCTTACTGGGTCACTAAGAGTGATGGCGTCCCTGAAGGTCCTGAACGACTGGTTCAGTGAAAGAGAGCATCTAGGTCGAAATTATACTCTTTTGTTTCCCAGTAGAAGATATCTTGTACAGCCTTTGGCTTTGTCTCCAAGTAGGCAGGTGGAGTTGTTTCTTGATGCTTTGATAACTCATGGTAGAATCTTGATCCTGGGTTTCAAAACTCAAGGTAGAATCTTGATCCTGGATTTCAAAACTCAAGGTAGAATCTTGGTCCTGGGTTTCAAAACTCAAGGTAGAATCCTGATCCTGGGTGTGACAGCTCACCATTATCTGACGTTTTTGTCTTGCATGATATATCCTCGAATTTCTTTTAGACGACTTTTATCCTCTTTGATTTTCATCTTGTAAAGTTTGGGCTTTAATGTTCTATCTACTGCGAGGCCGAGGTCAATAAGATGTGCTACGTAATCCTGACCTTGTTTTCTAATCATTATATTTGATTCTGTTATGTCATTATGGGCAAAATCGGCCTGATGAAAATCTTTTAGTGATCTTATAGCAGCTTTATATGCTTTAAAGCAATCTTCAATGGAATTTTTTCCTATAAATTTTGCGAAAGTTACTCCGGGGCAGCGGGACATAACAATAGCTAAAGGTTCGCAAATCATCCCATAAAGTTTGGGAGCTCCACCGGCGCCATTAACCTTCAA